GCATTTTCGCATTTTGCTTGTGCCACCCTGGCTACTTTGCGTGTGAGCAGAATCGTCGCGCTGCAGAACCCGAGGGGCGGGGCGTCCGTGCGCTTGTTCTGCGCCGCTTGACGTGGGCGCACCCTGGCCCAAACTTTCGTGCCCCACTTCCAGCGTGCATGCCTGGTTTGGGTTGAATATGCGTGTGGGGACATGAAGCCATGACACGCTTCTTTTGTGCCGCCACAGATATTGACCCGCGGGCCACCGTGCGTGCTGCTGGTGCGGACGACGACGACTATAATTATAATTAGGACAATAATTATGAGTATAACTGTAACTATAACTGTAAAAATAACCCTTCGTCTTACTTTTACTCTTACTATTACTGTTACTATTACCATTACTTTTATTATTACTATTACTATTACTATTACTATTACTATTACTATTACTATTACTATTACTATTACTATTACTATTACTATTACTATTACTATTACTATACTATTACTATTACTATTACTATTACTATTACTATTACTATTACTATTACTATTACTATTACTATTACTATTACTATTACTATTACTATTACTATTACTATTACTATTACTATTACTATTACTATTATTACTATTACTATTACTATTACTATTACTATTACTCTATTTCTATTTCTATTTCTATTTCTATTTCTACTATTACTACTATTACTATTACTATTACTATTACTATTACTATTACTATTACTATTACTATTACTATTATTATTACTATTACTATTACTATTACTATTACTATTACTATTACTATTACTATTACTATTACTACTTTACTATTATTACTATTACTTTTACTACTTTACTATTATTACTATTATTATTATTACTACTATTACTATATTACTAATTATACTATTACTATTACTCTATTATATTACTATTACTATTACTATTACTATTTCTATTTCTATTTTTATTTCTATTCTTTACTATTACTATTACTTTATCCTACTCCTATTCTATTACTATACTACTACTATATTATTACTATTACTATTACTATTACTATTACTACTATTACTATTACTATTACTATTACTATTACATACTATTACTATTATTATTACTAATTACTATTACTATTACTATTACTATTACTATTTCTATTTCTATTTCTATTTCTATTTCTATTTTTATTTCTATTATTATTACGATTACGATTACTATTACTATCACTATTACTATTACTATTACTATTACTTTTACTTTTACTATTACTATTACTATTACTATTTACTATTACTATTACTATTACTATTACCATTACTATTATTATTACTATTTCTATTACTATTACTATTCCTATTTCTATTTTTATTTTTATTTTTATTTTTATTTCTATTTCTATTTCTATTTTTATTTCTATTTCTATTACTATTACTATTACTATTACTATTACTATTACTATTACTATTACTATTACTATTACGATAACTATTACTATTACTATTACTATTACTATTACTATTACTATTACTGCTGAAGTGCATGCCTCGTTTGCAGCTCATGCCATGTGTACATGTCTGTTTTCCCTTCTTGCTCGTAGGCCCAAGCACAGAAAGCCTTGAGCATGCTTTTAACATCTTTTAACAGAACACATGTACCATAGTTGTAGGTGCCACGCCCAGCGTAGCACTAACTTCAGTCTTTTGCTTGCGTGTAAAATCTCCGCCTCTGTGTGAGCCATGTCTGGGAGTTCTGGTGCAGGGGAATTGATCACTCCACTTGTATCTTATTCCCAGCCTGCTGGTTCACACCAGCAGGTTATGAGCCCAACGCTTGGGCAGGGCTACGGCACCACAACACAGCAGTCATCCCCACCTCCCGGGAGGGATGGTTTGCAACATGCACCAGGTTCAACGCCAACACCTGCAAATGGCCAAACAGGTGGAATGGGCTTTGAACCTATGGCTACGGGAGGGGCACTTGGAGGCATAGACCAGACTGGGGTTAGCGCAGACTCAGGGGGAATGCCACCGGTGTCGACCGCCACGGAAGGCGGTGATGAGGTACAGATGGTTGTGCCGATACCCGGCAATGTCGCGCCGGGCGGGAGCCCAGGGCTAGAGGCCAGCACTGGCATGTTAGGTACCGCGAGTGGTGACGCAGAGCCAGGGGGTAGAGTAGTCGCTGGTGCTTCCACGGAGGGGTTTGTCACCCCACGGTCACAGCAGGGATTGCCAACCATAGCTGAGATGGTTGAGGGCTTCCCTGGTACAGGGCTCCAGCTTATGACGCGAGTTGGGGACTTTTTCCGTGTAGCGCGCACTGAGGTGGTGCAGGTACCCGCAGTGGCGCAAGGCACACACGCCACACCACCACGAGCAATCACATCACAATCACGTGATAGTCCCAGCGGTGTTCCAAGGCAATTGGCTCTGGGAGAAGGGAGTTTGGGTTCGCAGAGTAGCTCGCCACCACAGTTGGGAGCGCATGGTACACCCATTTCCTTTGCACCGCCTCCTGGAAGGGATGGCTCCTTGTTGAGCGCGGACATGTTGCAGCGCATGCAAGCTCTAGAACAGAGGGCCCCCTTACTTTACGGTAGCCTGCCCGAAAAACCCCCATCGAGAACAGACTCATCGTCCCTGCCCCACGAAGCGATTCAAGCTGAGGTTGCAAGGCAGCTAGCGGGGTTTGATCAACGGGCGCAGGCTCAGGACTTGGAAATACAGAGGATGCGGAGGCAACTGGAGGAGGCGGCCCAAAGGGAACAAGCTCTTAGGGAACAGGTAAGGAGAGAAGTGGCAATGACCAGTAGTGCCCCAATGGCTCCAACGACACCCCTTGCTGAGGTTCCCAGGCCACCCCTTCAGGATGCGCAAGTGCGCACTCCAATAGCGTATCAGGTGCATGATGCTGCAGCGCAGGCGGTTGAGGCTTTGAGAGCGCCCGCTCAAACAGCAGCTTCAGCAACTTCAGGGTTATGGTCCAACTTTTGGTCGGGGTTGCAAGGTTCCCAAAGGTTACCTAGCAATGCAGCGCCACCCGGAAGGGTTGGGCAGCCAAGCAGCGCATTATTGGGTGTGCAAGGGGATTCCACCTCTTCTGGCCCAGACCCCCATTCTCGAGCCGAAAACCCGGGTTTGGGCCAGATCAGGGCTTCGGGCTCTGGTTTCCAGTCAGTTGCTGCCGCTAGTGCCCCAATTCCCCAGGCTTCAGCTGCTTAGGCCAGCACGGCGCCAGTAGGGGCAGCCAGTGTGTCGCCGGGGGGAACCCAAGGCCCTCCCACATCAGGTAACACCGTGCTTGATGCCGTATTGTTGGGAGTGCAGCAACTGCAAACTTTGCAAGCCCAGCACCTTAGCAGTAGCAGGAAGGAGGATGCCCCGGAAACGGTGAAAACGGGCATTACAACCTTTCCCAGACTAGCCCCACCCGATCCAGCTGGAGGCTCGTTGGACTTTCAGGATTGGTTGCAGCTCATTGCGGGCTTGATGAGTGACTTTTCGGATTCTTCTCAACTTTGGTGGTCAGGGGTAGTTCAGGTAAGCAAAGATGCGTACGATAAGTGGGTCGTCGCATCCCCCATCGAGCGCTTGACGCTTGAGCCTGACGAGAGGCCAGAGCTTACAGAAGGCAAGTGGGGGAGAGTGAATGCGCGTGCATGCGCAATGCTTTTGGATGCCCTGGACCCCACAGTGAAATCTGATATCATTGCCCGTAAGGCGAATCAAGCTGCATCGCAAATCCTGTTTAGATTGTACACGACCTACCAGCCCGGTGGAATAGGGGAACGCAACCTGGTGTTGAGCAACTTGCAAAATCCCCATGTGGTGCAGGATGCAGCCTCAGGTGTGTCAGCATTGAGGGCGTGGGGACGGTGGTATCAAAGGTGCATAGACTTTGGTATGAGTTTGCCGGATCCAATGGTGTTGGTGGGAGGCCTAACCTCAATGACAAAGCCCGTCATCTCTAAGGAGCCGGAGGTTTCATGGCGAACCGAGATGGTGAAAAGTGCACTGCAGTTGCATGGTCGACCCTCGGAAGAGGCGGTCAAATCCTACCACAAACATTTGTTGGCCGAGTTTGAGACTTTGGCTGGAGCTCATGTTGCCAAAAAGGGTGGATCAGGTAACCTGGCATTGAAGGCAGCTGGTGTTGCTGGGGATAAGCCGGGAAAGGGGAGTGGAGGCAAAGGTGGAGGGAATGCCAACACATGCAAGTATTTCCTTTCGCCAAAGGGGTGCAGGTTTGGAACCAAATGCAAAAGCCCCCACTCCATGAACGAGTTGTCTAAAGCGGAACGGTTTAAGAAGTGCTTGAATTGTGGCTCCGAGGAGCATCGTGCTAAGGATTGCAAGGCAGGTAAGGGATCAGAAACCGTCCGTACAGGCAGCTTCCACATCCTCGGGCCAACCCGTTGTCCAAGCCACGCCAGTGCTCAACATGGAAACCTTCATGCAACAGGCAGTCCAGGCTTTGAGGCAGTTGGAGGCCAATCCACCGTGCAGCGGCACCGCGCCGCAAGCCCAGCCGCCTCAACCTCAGCCGGAAGGCTTGAGTACTGCATCGCAGCAGCCCTCAGTGCCACCGGCACCGGCTGCGCCCGCATCGTCTGCACCCAATCCTTCGGTGAAGAGGCTGACGATTCGCTCAGTCGTGCCCGCAAGCTGTTTCCCGGTTTCGGGTCTCCCAAACCGGGACTCCCAACCCCCCCATCAGGAGGCTCCAACCCGGGGGTTGGGAAATGCCAAAAATCAGGGTTTGGCAAACCCCCATTCTCGAGCCGAGAATGGGGGGTTGCTTGAGCCCCCCAAACCCATAGCATATGCGCTTTTGGACTCTGGGGCCACCCATGCCATGAGGCAGGCGATGGATGAGGAGGAGTGGGAGGCCGCATCGGAAGTACAAGTGAGTTTAGCCGGCGATACCACCACAACAATGCGGCTCACATCCTCAGGTACTTTGCTCCTGCCTCCCGGGAGGGATGGCCTAGTGCAGCCAATAGTCCCAATGGGCGCAATCATCGAGCAACTTGGGTATAAATTGGTTTGGTCAGCCGGTAGTTGCAAGCTGTATCCTCCTGATGGTAAGTCGTTGAGGCTTAGGGTCAAAAACGGTTGCCCGGAATTGGTTGAGAGCCAGGCCCTCACGTTGATATCACGGTTGGAGGAGCACAAAATGCAACAGGTTGAGGAGCTCAGGCGAAGGACGGATGAGGGGAAGGATCGCATCAGACAAGCGAAAATCGCGATGCAGCGCACATGGTGGGATCATTTGGTTGAGCATGTTAGCTCGTCAGCGCCAGCAGCGGGCCACATGGCAGTATCCACGGCGCCATTCTTTCAGGATGTGCCCGATCGTGCATTGTCAGGCCTACTCCCATCGGAAGATGTGGACTCCAAGACTTTGTGGAAAGCTCTTGAAGAAGGTATGCCAAACCTCAACCGGCGAAGGAGGAAGGCACTTCATCGAGCATCCAATTGGGTTGTTCACTTGTTTGCGGGCCCTGGCTCGCACAAGGCTTTCAAACGATTGGAGTCGCAGGATACAGTTGTTGTTGAGCTTGACATTTGCCGCTCAAGGAGCCAAGATCTTTACCATGATCCGCTTTGGACGCTTCTTGCTAAGGTTGCAAAGTTGGGACGAGTTGCGGCGGTCATTGGAGGTCCACCAACCCGCACGTGGTCCATGTCAGGGCACCGCGCTGATGGACCACATCCACTCCGCTCGCCCACTGAACCGTTTGGCCTGAGCACTCTCACCTCTGACGAGCGTGATCTCGTTGATCGTGATACGGGTTTGTATGCTCGCATGTTGTGGTTGCATGCACTTTCCACCGCCGGGAGGTGTGTGCACCCTAACCCGTCGGATGGAACATCCATGGTGGCATTCATGTTGGAGCAACCGTCGGTTGAACACCACATGGCTTCAAGCCATTCTGCTGTGGGTGGCGCCCCGTCGTTTTGGAATACCGCGCTGTGGCAAGCTTACGCTGAAGAGGCTGGTTTGTTTGAGGTGCATTTCCGTCAAGGTCCGTTGGGGCACGCGGGCGATAAACCCACAACTGTTGGCACCAACTTGCCCGACCTTAGAGACTTGCAAGCGTTTCAAGGTGAGGTATCGCAGGTTTGTGTTAGCGCCGACAGCCGTGTGTCTCCAGTGTGGGCGCCGGGGTTTGTGCAAGCCATCGTGTACGCACTCCAACGTTGGCCCTGTTACCGCATCATGAAATTCACCCAAGCGGATTGGGAACAGCATGTTGCGAACAATCACGTGCCGTACCGCCGTGATTGTGCAGTTTGCGTGCACGGTGCCGGAAACGGCCGCCGCCACCACGGTGTAGTTCACCCGGATGTGTATTGCATGTCAGCCGACATTGCGGGGCCCATCCGTGTGAAGGGCAAAGACCCAGAAAGCCGCAACCACCGACCAGCCACGTTCAAGTACTTCCTCGCTGTGTCGTACCGCTTCCCACGGCTCAAAGGAGTGAAGGAGGAGTCAGACCCCAGCCAAACCGAGGGGTTTGATGATGCAGCACTCCTCCCGGGAGGGACGGATGACCTTGCAGATGAGGCCTTTCCCGCAGCAGAAGGCCCCCCGCACGAGGATTACGAGGACTCCCTGTACGAGCCAAGTTTAGCGGAAGAAGAGGAGGAGGCGGAAGGTGAAGGAGTTGAAGGGCCTAGGGAGTTTGCAGCCAAAGTTGCCGAGGAGCATCCCTGGGAGTCAGCCAGGTGTGAACTCGAAACACCGCCTGACATGGCGAGGCTGGTGTTTGCAGTGCCACTTCACACAAACAAGGGTGATGATATCCTAAATGCCCTCCAACAGGTGTACATTTCCCTAAGGTCCCTAAACCTCCCCGTGCTTCGTTTCCACACAGACCGCAGTCGTGAGTTCTTCAACAAAAGGACTCGAGCTTGGTTTCATGAGCGTGGAGTCCGCACAACAACAACAGAAGGGGACGTTCCGCAGCAGAACCTTGTGGCCTTGCGCAATCATGACAGCTGCGGCTCAGCAACGGGCGCAGCAGCTGGGCATGAAGTCTAAGCTTGCCATCCATTTTGGAGGGAAGTGTTCCGTGAAGCGAAAGTTTTTCAGCAAGAAGGGTGATTTGGAGGATAGATGGGTTGAAGGTAAGTATATGGGGTTGTCACCATCTGTGAATGATGGTCACATCGTGTTGCGCAGCGATGGTGTTGGCAACGGCTTTGTGCAAACACTCCATGTTCGCACCCGCCTTGTTTCTCCGGATCCACCGCCCTTGCAGTTTGTAGGAGACTCGCTTGAGGAGGAGCACACACCACCTCCACGCAGGGTTCGCGGCAAGCGGTCTGCTGGTGTGAGACTTGACGACGTCTTTGCACTTGACCCGCCGCCTCCCTTGCCGCCGCCAGCAGAAGCTCTACACCCGGAAGGGCCTGTGTCACCGGTTGAGGAGGAGTCTGCCCGTGTAGCGCGCTTGAGTCTGCAAGACCTCGAAGGTTTAGCTACGGAGCTTATCGAGGACGACTGGGACCTTGATGAAGCGTTGTGGGTGTTAGCCGAAGTGTGCAGAGCAGCGCCCCAGCTGCAACACAAAGCTGGGTTGTACCGTCACGGAGGTGTAGTAGGAGTTTTAGGGGGTACCACAGATAAGCCTTGGCTGACAGAGCTTATGAATATGGTGCTTTCCGCAGTTGCACCCACAGCTGAGTACACCTCGCTTTGGTTGTCTAACTCCACTGTTCAACCCGTGCACGCCGACCACCACAACCTGCAGGGATCCACAAATGTAGTCCTCCCTTTGAAGCTCCCGCCTAACGGAGGGGATTTGTGGATAGAACTCAAGCCTGGTGACCTAGTCAGTGGCCCTGTAGAGGAGCGGGTAGACGGCAAAGGTAGGCGCTGGTTAGGGACAACTCACAAGTTAGAGCGCGGTAAGCCCTTCTTCCTAGACCCTACTCGCCGCCATGCCACCACTCCCTGGAAGGGTGAGAGAGCAGTGCTTGTCGGCTACACTGTCAACACGTTAGGCAAAGAGCTTGAGCACGAGTTTCAAAGCCTTGAAGCTTTAGGTTTTCCACTCCCAGCGTCGGTACGTTTACCGCTGACTGAGCAGCAAGACGTGAGACGTCTAGACGCGTTTGACTGCTTCGAAGAAGAGCCCCTTCAGGAGACAAAGGCACGTCACCCTGACGGGAAGACTTCTGAGTTAACGCCTGGGACTGTGCTTAAAGGCGGAGGTTGGAAAAAAACCCAAGCCGTAGAAGCAGGTACTGTAGAGCTGGAGGTGTCGTGGAACCTGAAACACTCGCCGGACCAAAGGCGAACCCAGTCTGAGCACGCCCTGCTGGCTTGCCAACCAGACACCGAGACACAGGTTGAGGAGGAGGAGGAGGAGGAGGGCTTAAGCGAAGACTCCTTGCCGGAACAACCAGTGCTGTGGGAGTTGTGGGTTCCACACCCGCAGACAGGTGAGCAGCTGTGTGTTCTCAGGTCTGACGATTCGGACGCGAGTGAAGCTTGTGCCCTTTGCAAGTCTGAGCCGGTTTACACTACCAACGTAGAGCTGTTGCTTGACAGGTTGCAAGAACCACTGCAGGTAGTCCACACTGTAGACCCTCGGGATGCAGAGCAATGCATCGAGAAGTGGATGCCGTCCATTCACAAGGAGATCGGTGTCATTGAGAAGGCTGTGCGGCGACTGCCCCCTGCAGAGGTCCGTTCCGGAGGTTGGCTAAAGCGCAAGGAAGTGAAGGTGGTTCCGTCTAAGTTTGTGTTCACAGTCAAGCCACCAGACCCTGCTGAAGCCTCCCTCGCTACCCGGAAGGGTCAGGCTTACCACAAGCGCAAGGCTCGCCTGGTTGCTTGTGGCAACCACGCCCCAGGCACGGGGTCCGAAGTCTACGCTTCAGGTGCTGCTGCAGAGACACTCCGTTGTTTTGTAATCATCAGCTCCAAGAGGAATTGGTGCATCGGGTCTCTAGATGTCACCTCAGCTTTTCTGTTGACCCCAATCCCGCAAGGCAGAGGTTTTCCAGTGTTTGCTCTCACGCCGCCTAGGTTGCTAGTGAGACTAGGTTTGGCAGAGGAAGGGGAGCTTTGGATCCTCACGCACGCTGTGTACGGGTTGAGGGAGTCGCCTAAGCTTTGGTCGGACTTCAGGGACTGCCAACTTCGGGCGCTGAGGTGTGTTGTTGACGGAGTTGAGCTGCAGCTCCAGCAAGGAAGGTTGGACCCAAACTGGTGGCGTGTTGTTCGCACCTCTGACGGGGTAGTCGTAGGAGGGTTGCTCACTTACGTTGACGACTTTTTGCTTGCAGGCAGTAAAGAGGTGATCGAAGCCTTGGCTACGGCCATCCAGGGCATCTGGAAAACGACGCCTCTCGCAGCCAGACAACGGACGAGGAAGAAGACCACACCCAGCACAGCACAGGGTAGGAACTACTCCACCCTAGCGGGTTGGATCTCTCAGTGAGCTCATCCGTAGCTGTGTCTTTTATCCACACGAGGTGCCTTGTGAGCCCTCGCACAGTGAGGGCAGTTGGCCCAGCTTTTGCCAGGTAGCTCAGGGTAGGTGTGTCGTCACCCTGACGGGTTGGACCTGCAGTAGAAAGTAGGTCGCAACTCCCTGGCGGGGCTGCGAAGGAGGAGTGCTGAAGTGCATGCCTCGTTTGCAGCTCATGCCATGTGTACATGTCTGTTTTCCCTTCTTGCTCGTAGGCCCAAGCACAGAAAGCCTTGAGCATGCTTTTAACATCTTTTAACAGAACACATGTACCATAGTTGTAGGTGCCACGCCCAGCGTAGCACTAACTTCAGTCTTTTGCTTGCGTGTAAAATCTCCGCCTCTGTGTGAGCCATGTCTGGGAGTTCTGGTGCAGGGGAATTGATCACTCCACTTGTATCTTATTCCCAGCTTGCTGGTTCACACCAGCAATTACTATTACTATTACTATTACTATTACTATTACTATTACTATTACTATTACTATTACTATTACTATTACTATTACTATTACTATTACTATTACTATTATTATCACTATCACTATCACTATCACTATCACTATCACTATATCACTATCACTATATCACTATCACTATCACTATCACTATCACTATCACTATCACTATCACTATCACTATCACTATCACTATCACTATCACTATCACTATCACTATCACTATCACTATCACTATCACTATCACTATCACTATCACTATTACTATTACTATTACTATTACTATTACTATTACTATTACTATTACTATTATTATTTCTATTTTTATTTCTATTTCTATTTCTATTTCTAGTTCTATTTCTATTACTATTTCTATTACTATTTCTATTACTATCACTATTACTATTACTATTACTATTACTATTACTATTACTATTACTATTACTATTACTATTACTATTATTATTACTATTACTATTACTATTACTATTACTATTACTATTACTATTTGTTGCTGTGCTGAGAAGATCAGCATGCCCCTCGCAAGGATGACACGACACGCCATGGACATGGCTCAAGTCACTGAGGAAAGAGTGTGGTGATGAGGGGTTGCAGTGGACGAGCCTTGAGGTTGGGCCCTGTAATATCCTCTAGATGCACGGCGATTATGATCATCTTGATGACCTTCCTTTTAGTGTGCGGAGACATCTTGAGCAGAATCCTGTAGTGAACATTCCGAGTCATTTCAGCATCGTTACGGCTACGCCATCCCCATCGATTCCTCATAACCATCTGCAGGTTATGAGCCCAAGGGCTCCAGACCTTGGGCAAACCTCCGCAGCATTGCAGCAGCAGCAACAACTCCAGCAAACAGCAACAACTTCTTCAGGAGACCAGGCGGATGCATCAGTGGTGTTTCGACAGCTTTCGCAAGTTATCATTCCTGCTGAGTTGATTTCACGACTTGAGACCTTGAAGGACGCTGGTGTTCAGCTAGGGCAGATGGCGAGCCTTGATCACGTTCGTCAGCACATGCGAGAGATTGCCGATGAGCTCTTTCGCAGGTCGGAGCTGCTAGGGCAATGTGTTTTGAGAACGGTTTCGGGAAGCCAAGAGAACCGAGAGCAGTTATCGAGGTTGCAAACAACAGTGGATGCATTGCAATCGCACGGCGCGCACCAAGATGAGAGGTTGGTTTCATTGTCATCAGAGCATGAGAGAACGATGAGTCTTCTTGCAGAGTTTGAGGCCAACATGAAATCAAAGTGGAATGAAACGTTCCAGAGAGTGAGTTCCTTGGAGAGTAATCTTCAGGCAGCGGCCGCCGCACAGGCCACCATGCGGGAGGATTACGATGGTCTCCTTGACAAGTCTGCCGAAGAGCAGAAGCAGTACCTGGTAGTTATGCTGGAACGGCATGCAGAAGCCATGGAACTGATGAGCAGACAGCAGAACAACAGTAGCGAGCAGATTGAGCAGCGGAAGCGAAGCTTCGATAAGGCACAAGCAGAGGCTGATTCAATGAAGGATAAATATGAACAAAGCCTGAAGCAGACCCAATGGGTGGTCACGAAGGTGACTGAGCTTGAGGGCCTTGTGAGTCGATTGAAAGAGCGGGACCTTGCAATTAGAAGGGAACTTGGTGTTGGTGATGAGGGTTGTGGGCTACATCGCGCAGCTGAAAACACATCTGTCCCTTCGCAGCCTGGGCCTTCTTATTTCGCCTTGACTCCAGACATCCCTGCAGCTCGTGATGGAGCAGATGCGGGGTACGTTGACCCGTGGTGGGGTGAGGAATCGGCATAGACTGCACATGATGCTGACTAAAGTCCGCAGGTGATGCCGAGCACGGCCAGCGCATGTTGAACGAGGTGAAGGCGTTGAAGCGCCACTTGTCGCAGAAGCCGCTTTGAAATGTTTTGTGCATTCGCAGCATTGAAAAGGGCTGGTTCAGCAAGGTTTCTCGGGTCATGCGCACATCGTTGATCTTTTGGGGGTGCCATGCTCTCAGATGTCTCTTCCGGCCGCTACGTTGAGCAGGATTCTGGAACACTTGAGCAATGAGGTGTGTGGAAAACAAGACCTATTGTATCGTGCTTCAGCCCGTACCTAAAGCTGGTGGGTTGCAATCACAAGGAAGGCAAGCGCCATCAGTCGCATCGCCCAGGTTGGCACATGGCACTTTGCTGAACAGACACAGCGGTGCTGAGAACAAGCTTGCACTACAGGCAATGCCGACATGCGGTTTGAGGCTGTTCTTTGCCCAAGCTTCATTCTGCTTTGGCAGGTGTGTGACGGAGTTGCTTTCATCCACAACATGAAAGTGCTCCACAAGGATCTGAAGCCGACCCTTGCCTTACGTGTGGAGCGTCACTGTAACATTGGCTTTGCCTTTTGTGTTCTGAGGGAGAACATCTTGCTGGACACTGACGGAGTTGCTCTGCTAGCCGACTTTGGGCTCGCTTTGCTGGGGCCCCAACTCGTGCGTTGCTACGTCTGTTAAGTGACAAGATCACAACTGCAATGATGCAAAGGAGGCTTGAGGTCGGAAAAAGGTAGGAAGGGAGAGGGAGAGAGAGCTGAGAGGGAGAGAGAGAGAGAGAGAGAGAAAGAGAACACTCAATGCCTGTCGGAACAAGAAGTTGCAAAACACACGGAACAAAAAATACAGGGGTAGACAGCAGCTGCCGCCGCGAGCAAGAAGTACAACGCCGCAGTACTGGGCGCGCGGCCCTCAGCACTGACGTGGCAGTGCTGGGTGAATTTCCTGAACAACGAAGACCAGTCCTCAATGAAATATACCCTGAAGGTCCCATGGGCAGCCTTGGCCATGGCGTTGCAATGGCATCCGCGGTTCAGGTCGACATTTGGGCTTTAGGTTTGGCTTTTAGTGGCTCTTAGCATGAGCTTCAAGGTTAGCGACTGGCTGGCTCTGCGGCACTCCTTCTTTTTCAATCTGCAGCCAGGCTATTTGTAGCAGCCAGTATAAGGTTGTATACTCGTGAAGGAGCTGTTCAAGCACTCCGAGGCGTCTGAATTGTTGATTCGTCCCACTCGTGTGCCAAGAAAACCGAAAACCGAAAGGTTTCCGCAGTTCCGAGCATCGCCAGCCTGTCATGGTTGTGCCAACCGCACGTTCTGTGATGTTGGTTGGGAGTGGTAATTCCAGGCCAAGTCATGTTTGCATAAAGACCCTCAGCGGCGACCACCCGCGCATGAGATCCACTCCCAGCTGTGCCTTGCCATGATGGTGTTGCAAAGTTGTAAAGGTGTGCATGGATCCAATCGTAATTGAGCGTGCTCAGATCCGTGGCCCGAAGCTCCACTGCCCCATCACCCTAGCATCTCGGCGTGAACGTGCCGTGCAGCTTATTGAGCCCTCAAAACTGTCATTCACTTGTGATGCTGCTTGTCTCTCTGGCGTGCGATTGAGACAATTCGTCGTCCACGCGGCACAGAGTCGAGCTTTGCAGAGCCAAACCCCATTTGTGGCATTGCCTTGCAAGCCCGTAAGTGAAACCGATCACTAAAACTAATAGGCGACTTAAACGACTTACAGCGTCCCTCTCCCTTCCCCGGCAAAAACATAAGCCCAGATCCAGGACTGCATGAAGTGGATTGAACTCGCATTCACAGTTTCAAAACGTCCCCACGCTGGATCCGTTTGAACTTTCCTGCTATCAGTGGGAATTGCTGAATTCTTGGTGCCACTGTCTTTGCATGCTCGCGTGGGCGTTTCTCAATATTTGTGTGTTTTGTTGGTCCCTCTTGTGTCTAGGCCTACGTTATTGTTCGCCCGGGACCGGAATAGTGAAGATGCGCCCCGAGACGGTCGCTGGTCGCTGGTCGCTGGTCGGACGTGGCGAGGGGCAGTCCAGGTTTTCGCGCTTTTGGGCCTCGATCTCAGTTTTTTCGGACCGACTGGAAGCCTGCAGCTTGGGCTGGGTGCACCTGTGCCCAGTCCATCCCAGCTCAGCAGCCAGGCCAGAAGCCAGCCCGGCCCAAGCCGAGTAAACTGGCTGGCGCCTCCGTCAATAATTTTGCGCATTTCCGCATAAGTCAGCCCCAACCACATGCCTGCCTGGGTGTTCCGTTTTTTCACTTGATGGCTATTACCCTACCATTCAGTATAGCACCATCTGCATCAGCGATTATTACCCGTGTGCGCGCGTGCGTGGCGCAACGCAGTCAAGCGGGCCAAACCCTTCGCGCGGAGCATGGTCGAGCCTAAGCCTGCCTCTCTCTCTCTCTCTCTCTCTCTCTCTCTCTCTAAAGCAGGCAGCACAATTTCTCAACAACGAAGCAGGACATGACGCCGGAGTTCTCTCAACTTGCCCTTCTGACGGCCGGCAACTTCGTGCTCACGGTGGAGTGGCTGCCCCAGTTGCCCAGTCAGTCTTGTTTGTCGCGTAGAGGAAGCGTTAGAAGACCATGTGGTTGTCTGTTGGTGGAGGTTTCTTTCAACAAGTTGGCCACCGGAAGTTGGAAGCAACATCGCGCTCCGCAAGATCAT